TTGGATTCTTTACCTTTATCTTGTTGTGGTGCTCAAGTATTTCATAAATTCTGGATATAAGTCCCTTATCTGATATGTTATTACCGAATACTTTTTTCCCAGTCAGTGGCTTCCCTTTTTACCCTGTTGGAGAAGTTTTTGGATGTGCATAGGGATCATATGAAGCAATTTAAAAGCCACGGTTTGAGTTAGAAACATCTTAGAGTTCAAAATTATATCCTTATTCTTTAACACTTTAGAAAGTCTTTGGCAGCAGAATTGGCCCGTTTAATACCAAGCCAAAGGTGAGTGACTTTTAATCCGCAGCCCTTGGGCCTGTCTTTTATTGTTTTTGTTCAGACATTCCTCTAGGTCTTAAAGCCCTGGTGTACAAGTTGCCGTACAGTGGTAACTTGTGGTTGCTGTGAGGCTGAACACTGTGACACTGATGTGTCAAATGCGTTAATGGTTAGCTACCCAACGCAGACAGAGAGTGGGGTCGAGCTCCCCGATTAAAACAAGCTTGGAAGGAAGAGTGGCATCCACTTCCATAATAGCTTGCCTCCGGAAGCCCTATGAATCTGGAGAGAGGATGAAAGGCACCCAAGCACCCAAGCGTTGAGGACTCTCCTTCATAGGGTCGCTATGAGTCACCTGCGACTCGATGGCACTTAACAACAACATCAACAATACGTCATTTGACTTATTGATTGATGCTTCCACGGATACTGATGATAAGTCTAAGTACAATGATATCCTTGACAACATCAGTCTATTCTCCATTTATCATTATGTTATTAGTCCAACTGCGAGGATTTTTATTTGTGTGTATGCACGTAGAGGTGTATGCGTGAGTTTTCCCATATTGAAATCTATAGTCTTTGAACATCATCAGTAAGATCTTCAAGGCTTTTTCTGCAAGCAAGTTTCTGTCATTTGTAAAATGTAGGTTATTGTGAACTTTTAACTAAGACTGATACCATATTCTTCTTCATTTCGTCCAGTTTCTCAGGTTATTTGTTCTTCATGTATATTGAATAGATGTAGTGAAAAGATACAATCTGGACACATACCTTTTCTGATTTTACACAATGCATTTTCTTTGGAATGATTATTTCTTGATCTAAGTCAGGTTCTACAAGACCACAAGTAAGTGTTCGTTAATTCCTATTATTCTTGATGTTATTATTTATCTATTATGGTCCACACACTCAAATGCCTTTGCGTAGTCAATAAAATACAAGTCTTCCTACTCTATCTTAGTCTGGAACCTCCACTGAAACTTGCTTACCATGAGTGACTTTGTTTTGGTATTTAAAATATTGGTGGCATAATTTCCAGCACGTAGCAACACATAAACCACCACAATACAATAGATAAGTGGTGGGATAGATATGTAACCTATATATGCACAGATAGAATTCTCTTTATGTTCTTGTACAGATAGATATGTCTGTGTGTTATTGTTGGTGTTTTATACTGTGAAGTTGGAATCAACCCATAGCTGACCCTCAAGTGGGTTTTCAAAGACAGTGAATTGTACAGGAGACTGCTCATCTTTCTCCTTCTGAACAACTGATAACTTTGAACCACATGCCTTTGGGTTGGCAGTGCAGCTCCTTACCACTAAAGGACATCACTGGAAGTATTTTTCAGACATACCAAACATCTTACTTTACTGGGATTAGGGCACTTTGGTGGCTTAGTGTTAAAGAGTTTCATTTCCAATCCCAAGGCATGTGAATTGAATCCACCAGATGTTCTGAGGGAGAAAGATGGGCCATCTCTTTCCATGCAATTTATTGGAATAATTGCAACCATGGGATCAAACATAGCAAAGACTGTGTGAATGATGCAGGATCTTGCAGTTTGTTTTGCTATATATATAAAGTCTCTGTGTCATAAATGACTCAATGATACTCAGAGACATGTATCTGTCATAAGAATTCCTAACAGAAAAAGTAACTTCTCCACTAAAATTCTACAAGGTATTTATATATAACAGAAGAGTAAACTAACAATATTTCAAACAAAAGAGAAATAAGGTTATGTGTACTTACACATAAATTTTGGACTGTGTTAGAGTCAGATGTGTCTAAGCTCTTTGTCTCACATGCTTTTGCACCCTTGTTGCTCATTACTACACTTTTTTCCCCTTGTGTTGTTAGCTTCCATTAAGATGGCCTCCTGCTTATGATGATCTTGGAAACAATAGAAAGAATTTCTTTACAGTTCTAAAAAAA